AGAAGGGATGTCACAGAAAATATCGGGATCTTGATGGAATGAGGACCAAAGGAAATAGATCAAGAACAATCAAGAAAAGATATTTTCGAACCTGAAAATGGCCCTAGAAAAAACATTCTTCTCAATTAGATTGTTTCAGAATTAAGAACAAATGAAGGATTGCCTAAGAAAAACAAAGTTGTGATAGAAACTTAAAAATCACAATAAAAGTCAAGTGCTTTTCGGGACTCTGAAAAAGGTTTATCAATGGCATAAATAAGGCTTGATGGCATGGACAAAAGACTAATGCTACTATCTCTGATTGAATAAAGAGAGAAGGCAGCCAGACTTCAGGCAGGGCAGATGAGCCTGTCAACAGTATTGCTTCGTTTCATCAAGGTGTTGAAATATGTTCAGTAGAAGGTCCAAACCTGGAACTGTTGCAAAATGTCCAAGTCTGTTTTCATGCAACCACAGGCTGCATGAGCTAACAAGCAGCATGAAGGAGAAGGAAGAAATTTTGCTGGTACTGTGGGTAACAGAGGCAGCCCTCTGCCTAGGGACAGGTTGTCATGGGGTGGATTCACCTTTAAGATAGCTTTGGGAGCTAGGGAAGTTGAAACTGCTGGTGGCTGATGGGAGTCTTTCCTCCTGACCAATTATCAGTCATTTCTAAGAATTGACAGCAGTTTTAACCATTAAAAAGTGAAGTCAACTTGTAAACACCTCCTTAAGATGTAAAGTCAGAGCACTCTTGTGGCTCTTTGTTTCCTGGCTGTGAAAGGTACCAGAGCTCCAGCTGGCCTCCTGTTCCCTGCCCAGGCCATGCGGCCTGGGCGGGGGCTGGGCTGGGCCCAGCGGCTCCCGGCCGGGAGATGGGGCCTGCGGGGCTTGCCCCGGGCTCTGGGCGGGCCAGGCCGGTCCCTGGCTCGGCTGCAGTTTTTGCTGTGACTAAATTCACCAGAGACTGCCAAGTGAAGAAAGGAAAAAAAGCTCTTGACCTGTGGCGGGCTGAGACAGCGACCACACTCTCCAGAGCAGCCATGAAGAACCTTCCGTCGCAGACAGCTCCAGCTCCTGCTCCGGCAGAGATCACAGAACAATCTACAAAGCCTGGGCAAGATTTTAACCTTTCCATTACCCAGATGAGACTTGCAGATTAATCTTTTTTTATCCAGAGAGAGAAAAAGAGAGTAATTAACATGTAAAGAGACTTTATAAACTATCAGAGACAGTAAAGAAAAGAATTAAGCTTCAGAAAAGGTAGAGAATAAGGAGATGCTTTATAAGCTGAAATATTTTTCTGTTAAAGCTATGGAGAGGGACAATAAGGTCTTGAAAAAACTCCTTTAATTCATGACAGAGTATATAGGGAGGAATAGAGTATTCAAAGTGTAGATTTTGAGTAAAAAGTAGAGTAATTGTGATACAGTGAAGTGCTGGAACAGAGTGAAGTGAAAATTTGAAGCCTTGGGGGGCAATGAGAAAACTGTTTTCCAGTAGAGCTCACAGAGACAGATGAAGAAGACTTTTGTCTTTGAATAACTCATCCTTAAAATGCCATCCCTAGACTCATGGCCCATACACACCTCAGAGTGATGTGAGATGGGAGGAGTGAGCTCTGATGACAGGATTTTTGGGCAGCTGACATCAGGGAAATAGAAAACTATAGCAGAAATAGTTTCCTTGTGAGACACTCTATAGATTAACAGAAAGAGACTTCTGTTTCTCTGCAAAGACTGATGAAAAGACTGTAGCAGGAATTGGGACTGTTTTAAACACCAAAGTTCCAAAGTTTTTGTCTCTGTTGTCATGTGAACAAGGGAATGGTGGGTAGTAGGGGATAAAAAGGAAATTTTTCTGGAAATTTTTTCTGGTGTTCTTATTCTTGCAGTTTGTTAATAAACTTTCTTTATTCCTTTTTAAGTTCTAAGCCTGTTTTGCTCTTGCTCTAATCCATCTCTCACAGCAGGAAATAAGTAATTTTTTTAGTTACTGGTTTAAAACCACGACACAGGTGAAGAGCCCTCTGAGAGTTTCTGGGTCAGGATTTAATGGAGAGACCAATATGAGTGATGTTGTGGCTTCCTACTACAGGAATGAGCTTTCCTTAGTAAGTTTGCAATGGGAGGAGCAGCTGAGATGGTTGTGCTGCCATCCAAAGGGATCTGAACAGGCTGGAGAACTTGGCAGAGAGGACTTCCATGAAGTTCAGTGAAGGAAAATGCAAGGCCCTGTACCTGGGGAAGAATAAGCCCATGCACCAGCACAGGCTGGGGAAGAATGACTGGAAAGCAGCATTGCCAAGGAAACACTGGGGTCCTGGAGGGCAGGCTGATCTGACATTGCTCCAGCAATGTGTCCTTGCAGCAAGTGGTCCATCACCTCCTGGGCTGCATTAGGCAAAGTGCTGCCAGCACAGATCCTTGTCCCCCTGATCCACACTGGTGAGAGCACACCTGGAGTGTGGGGTCCCAGATCTGGGCTCCCAGTACAAGAGGGACGTGGATGTTCTGGAGCAGATCCAGCAGAGGGTCATGAAGGTGATCAAGTGCCTGAAGCGTCTGAAATAGAAGGGGAGGCTGAGAGGTCTGAGACTGTTCAGCCTGGTGAACAGAAGGCACAGGGAGGATTTTATCACTGGGTATTAGTACCTGATGGGAAGATAGGAAGAAGATGGAGACAGACACTTCTCACTGGTGCCCAGTTACTAAAGAAACAAAAAAGCAGTAACAAATACCCTCACAGGTGGAAAATGGAAAGACCAAGTGACCTCCCAGTCCTGTTATTGAGCTGAAGCCTTAGGAACAGTGGCTCCACACAGCTTTTCTCAGCCAAGGGATCTCAGTTTAGAAACTGCTGTACAGTTCCCATAACAGGCACAGGAAGTGACTCTATGACTTCACTTTTTGCACAAACTGAGAAGCTGCGTTCAGAAAAATATTTGAAGACTCTACCATAAAGGTATTTTGAGACTTTAGCCTGTGTGACGTTTCCTGTCTGTGAGCAGTCTAGGCCGATAAAGTTAAGCACCTACTCAATCACTGACTTCTGTGCTTGTGAATAAGCCAGTCCTCAGCATAAGTTTTACATCTGTCTTCTTCCTTGAGGAAGCCCTGTAACATTTTCTTTAGGTGTGTTTTCCCTGCTTCCCATGTCTGCCTCACCCCACAGAGACCAGTCCATGCAAGTGATCCAATTAGTCCCTGTAGCATGGACAATGGTTTTCAAAGTCAAGCCACAGTGATTTACAGGAAATCCCCTTGACAAAAAAGGAGTACTGCGTTAACCTACATTAGTATTCCTCTTTTTGGGGGGTTTAAACTGAGGAACAGTGTTTTTTAGCTGCAAGCTTCACCATTTACCTCTATAAAAATCAAATCAAACCATTAAACAGTGGCAAAACAGAGCCTGAAAAGAGATTTTTCAAAGCCACAAAATATCAAATCTGGAATTTAATTTTGAAACTGCCAGATACCAAAATATTATGCTGGTTTTTCTGGGGCAGAATTAATTGTACTCACAGTGACAAGTACAGGGCTGTTTTGGAACTGTGCTGAACACAGGGTTGATAATACAGAGGTTTTTTTTTTTTTTATATATGCAAGATGGTTTTTTTATGAGCAGGGCTTGCACAGAGCCAAGGGCTTTCCTGCTTCTTATGCTGTCATGGCTGGCAAGGAAGGTTGGGGGTGCACTGGAGTTTGGGAGCAGACATAGTTGGGACAGGTGACCCAGACTGATCAAATGGATAGAAGGAGGAAGGGGAGGACATTTGGAGTGATCAAGTTCGTCTTCCCAAATCACTGTTACACGTGTTGGGGCCCTGCTGTCCTGGAGATGGTGGAACACCTGCCTGCCCATGGGAAGCAGTGAACTAATTCCTTGTTTTCCTTTGTTTGCGTGAGTGGCTTTTGCTTTCCCTGTCTTTAATTCAACCCACAAGTTTTCTGGCTTTTGCCCTTCCAATTCTCCCCCCATCCTGCTGGTGGGGGAGTGAGCAAGCAGCTGTATGGGGCTTGGCTGCTGACTGGGGTTAAACCACATCACCCCACATCCAATAATCAGTCCCCAAATAATCAATTTCCACAGCAATAAGGATTAGTGAATAGTCAACATGACACTGTACTTCTTCTCCAGAGAAGTGGTTTATGTAGCTTTTAGAAGTTTCAATACACATAGTTTCAAATAGACAATCCTTTTTAAGAGTCTTACATACTGAATGACAAGGAAAAAAAGAGGAACTTTATAGGAAGTTTTTCTATTGATACCAATTATCAGTTAACAAATGCTGTGAGGATGAATATTCGTGCTTTAGTCTTCCAACTGTTCCAGTGTTGTAATTAATGTGATTTGTTCATATTTCAAATATAACCTGTGACTGAGAGATTAATGAAATAATTTTTTTATATTAATGGCAAAGTGGAAATATACATGATAAATTTGGATTTGTCCTCTTATCAACTAGCTTTTCAGTGTGATTCATTTCTGAAAAACTTGAAAGATAAGCAGAAAAACTAGCCATCTATCAAAATTATGTGAAATACAAACAAATAGGGACTTTAAAATCAATTATTGGTCAAGTAATTTGCTCAGTATAATTTTGTTCCTCAACATACAAAAATATGAGTTGAAGGCATCTCCATATCTTTAATGTAAATGGCTTTCTCATCTCAAAAAAATTTGGGATCTTAAAGTATGAGGTATTTTTTTAATAACAGATTAAGTGTAAGAATCACTCTAAAGCAAAAGAACAGCACGTTTTCCAGTCGTCTGTTCCTAAAAACCACTGAATATTCATGCTGCAGTGTCAAACAGAGTTTAATATCGTGCTGCTGCTGAGAGCTTGGATGAATTTGCCTTACGGCATTTATGGAGGGAGAACAGAAAGGAGAATTTTTCATCCGTTTTTGACTAAGCCACAGATTCCAAGAGAAATCACACAAGATATGTCAAATTTTCATTAGGGCTGGGGTTAAGCTTTGTTATATTAATAGCTTAAACCATAAAGCTCAACTGACCTTTAGTCACAGTGGTTTCCACTAGTGTAGCTTTCCCAGTCATGTCCTTATTCTCACGATGCACCGAATCATTTTGACAATTAACTTGCAATTCCAAAACATCAGCAGCTTGATTTGAGCACAATTTCTTGGTGGTGTCTATGTAGAAATTCTGAAATCAGATAGAATAGCACATTAGCTTTCCATGTAAATTATTATTCCAAACTGATGTGACATGCAAGAGCAACATTCTTCGGGTTATTTCTGTGAGTTTTAACTATAGATCTTTCTGTTTGTTGAAGTCTTCAATGACATTTACCACAGAGCTTGTCTTTCAGGCATGTACATCATAAAATGACATGACCAGGAGGCATTCTAGGTGAAGACATTACCTCTAAAACACATCTCCAGTCTTTCTTTTCCTTTTTATGTTTGGCTATATGGTGTCACACAAGCAAAAGGAGATTTATGTATCCCTTTTGGTTGATTCAGATTACTTTCTGATTCACTATTTTTATTGTATCGATTGTTCATTTAATGTGTTCTGTTACATATTACATCACAAATTCATATAAAGTCTGACATTTCAATTACATTTACCCAGTAGCATTCACAGCATAGTATAGTTAGATGATGAGAACAGACAATTATGGTGTTATTAATTATAATTTTATTACATTGGAAAAAGCAAGTTAGATGGCTGCAATATTTGCATCCCTTGAAATTCAAGCTTCATACACACCTTTCCATAATTATGTTGTTTTATTTTTAATTCTGAGGTTTTCTTGTCATAAATACTTTCAGTCAAATACATATTTTTATCTGTGTAAGTAACAGTCAGTTAAAAGTGTCAAAAATATATCTTTGGTGAAACTTTACAGTAGCTGCAGTGTAGGTACAGACCAATTGCAATCATTATACCAGAGTATATATTTTAGGAAATAATCACAATAGATTTTCCATTCAAAATTAAATGCAGATTTTTTCCTTAGCAATGACAAAGCCCATCCTATTCAGAGAGATAAGGTCATGTTGGTAAATCTGACAGTAGCTACACAGTAATAGGATCTGATCTTTTCAGAATCAACCTACAATTTGTAAAAGCACGACACAAGCCCGCTTTTTACAATTTGCCCTTTTTAAAAAAAGATATCAGCTAAGAACAAAAAAAGTCACTGGTAATCAAAATAGAAAATTTGGAAGAGTATATTAAGAAAAACAGATGAAGATGGAACCTATAAAACACAGGGATGATTTTTCCCAGTGCGTGGGTCATAAGTGGAAGACTCCAGTTTTTCAATTAGAGGAATCTCTGGTACTTTTCTCTTTTTTCTTAAGTTCCCCTCTCACCTACAAGATAGATCTACAGGAGTCAGTTGAGTTATAGTGGTCAATGCATGTTTGTGCTCTATAGATCCTACAACACTGGGTAGTGCTCACCTGCATTGCAAAAGAGCCTCTGAGGCCCAGCAAAGCTGTAAGCATGTAATTCACAAAAAACTCTGGGACTTGTGAAAAAGAAATTCAGCTAAGAAATATTTTTCAAAGAGGACAGAAATGTTGGAAGAAATTCTTCACAGCAGAGAGTTAATATAATCTGATGAAAAAGGCACTGTTCAAATAAGGAGTGTGCTCAGTGTGTTGTGGAACAGGTACACTGAGGCTACAGGGACTTTAACTTTCTTTCACCAGGAGGGCATGGCCCTCCTTTCACCTCCTTTTCTTGATCTTCTGCACCTAAACATGCCTGTATACCCCACCTGTTTGTTGCCAGACTGCCCCAATTATATGTACACTCACTTTATGGACAGTTATTGAGAAATGTCCACCTTCTGCTAGGGGAAAATAAATGCCTAAATAACCATGTTTCACTAAACTAGTCCCATCCTTGGTATCAGTTATACCTCTTTATCACAAGTTGAAGGTTTTGGGAAGGGTAGGGTAACTATTATTCATAGGCAGTTTATTCCTGTGTTCTAGTTTTTTGGCATACTTAGCACACAGAAAGCTTTCACTTAATGGTCAGCTTTCAGGGAAGAATGAACCTTAATTTAAACTATAGACAATTTTTTTTCCTTTTTAAAAAAATTCTCTTATTTTCTAGTCAGCTCCTTATTTACCCTATTAATACTAGCAATCAATGTGATGTATGAGTATGTTGAGTTTATTTGTTTTGCATTGCCTTAACTAATTAAAAACAGGCCTTGGTATCAACATAGGAAGTTCCCCTCATTAAGGAAAATGTATCTGGAATTTGTGCTAATCTTACAATTCATCAGCAAAACCACACACTGTGAAAAAATAGTTACCTGGGGCACCTTGTAAACAAATTAAAATATGCAAAACTCAAACATTTAAAATAAATAGGATTACAGAAAATGAACTGTCACATCACTTTATGCTGAAATCTGATAGCATTTTAACATCCTTAACAGCACTATAGATAACAATTATACTAAAGACCAGCAAAGATAAGTTGTTTTTGAAAGCTATGTAACTGAGAAGCCTTACAGTTGTCTTTCAAATACTTGGCATATTTAACAGCACAGAATTTCTATCTAGGCAGAGCCATTGTTCCACTAATTTAAAAAAGTCAGGATATTAGCCATGATTTTCAATAGTTACTGCCAGAAAAAACATTAATTCAATTAAAAACTCATAATCTGAGCTGCAGTCATTTGTTATAAGAGACTACTCATGAGGAAACCCCAAATCTCAGCATTTGGAAAATAAAGCCAACATCTACAGGTGCATGAACTAAAAATTTTACAGCAGTGGCTAAGAATTGCCATTACATCTTCAGGTTTGCTGTGGTCCAGGAACAACTCAGGAGTCAGAACGTAAAGCAGTAAAGGTAAATGAGTCTAAATATGCACAGCCCTTCTCAGGAAATAGGAGTGTTGTGTCAAACAGGATAAACACGAAGAAGTGTGAGAGCTAAGGTGAGAACTAAAGGACTGGAGATGCATCACTTTAATAAGAACAGAAGTGCCAGAATTCAGCAGAAGATGTAAACGAGTGCAGTGTTTGTTGAAGGTGTATGAACTGAAAACATTGCAGAAGCAAACTGTTTCAGAGTAAGGAGATTGAATTAGTTTCCCTTGATCACCTGAAGAGTTTTATTGCACCTATGTATGTGTGTGTGTGTGTGTGTGTATGTGAGATCTCTTCTGCTAGCAAGGCTTCCCTCTGCTTGTCTGCTCCAGAAGCAGTAAAATCTGACAATAGGCCTTATGAGTGGCACTGGAAAACAGTAATGTTTTCCCTATGTGCAGCCACAGTTACACAAAACCTATTCTCAGAATGCTGATTTCCCCTGCAACATAAGTGTCAGCTCTCATCCTCTTCTCCCAGCTCCAAGCTGAATTCTCCTCAGACTTAAAAAATTTGGGCTACCAACAATTGTATCCATGTGAATATTTTTTTCATTACTGTGTCTAATTGCTTTTTAAACTAATTTACATTTCTGTTATCAGTACCATGTGGCAATGAGTTCCAGAGTTTATTTCTGCACTGAAATTTACTTTGGGTTGTGAGGTTTCTTTTTACTGCCTTAACTCATAATTTCGTGCTGGTGCAGTAATTCGTCTCCATAAATTTTCTCCCATCATTCATATTTTTGCTCTTTTCCTTGAGTCACCTTTTCTTTAGGTAGAAGAGTTTCTGGTCTTTAATTTTTCCCCTTCCAGGAGCTGAATTATAAGTCATGATGCACTGACTCTGGAAACTCCTGCTCATTTGCAAGATACAACCCAAAAATACTGAAGGCAATCCCTATCCCACACATGCTTCAGACAGAACTATTTGGTTACAACTACTTAATCAGCCCATAAAATAGCACAAAAGTTCTTACAAAAGAAACCCCATACGCCCAACTAACTAACCAATCAACCAAAAAACCCACCAAAAAAACCCGCTAAAACCAGCAATAAGAAAACCACAAAACAAATAAGCAAACAACCCCCACCCTCCTCCAACTCTGAAGGTGTCCAGCAAAATTATTGTAACCACTGAGATACAACAGAAGGAGAAGCTCTTAGAGTAACTAAGAAAAAAGTATTTTAAATCTGGTAACAAAAAAAAGAAAATAATACACATTATTGTTTGGTTGTTTTTTTAAGGAAAGAACACCTCAACAGCATCTAGAACATTCACAGTAAAGAAGGAAACAACATTTGTTTGAAGTACAGAAAAATGTGGGAGTAAATATGAAACCAACAGCTGTCATAATCTCTGAAAATGTGGTGAGAGATGTAGTGGTATAAACTAATCTGACAAAATTATGCTTTTCCAGACTGAAAGTCAAGCTGTTATGTGATTACAAATTACTCTAGTGAAGAGGAGTACTCATTTGCTGGAGCAATCAGTGCTGGACATGGCACTATGCCTTTGGAGTACCTTATTGCAAGTCACACATGCTAGAAGATACAGAATATAAATCTTTTACTGCAATCTTTAAAAACAACTTGGAGTGGTATTATTTACAGCCATCAGAAACCCAAGCCAAAGCTCCAGATATACATTTGTTGCTTTGGCATATACTGCATGGGTATATCTAAATCTAAAATGCTTAATTGCTGCATGCACCTTTCCATCAGAAGAAAAAGATGTATACATAGAATGAAAGTGTGATGAATGATTTCACTGTCCAAACACAGACAAAAAAGACAATTTATCCCCACAAGCTCCGTACAACAGTTCTGCAGGAGTCACACAGCACAGTATTCACTGGGAAGCCCAAACCAGGCTGGATGAAGTTTTAGTTTTAAATATTTTGCAGACTATTTCAAGGAAATTGTGAGAGAAGGTGGTAGAGTGAGATATATCAGTATTCATAGCTGCTGATTTATAAAGAAGACTTTATGAGCTTCAAAACCTACAGATTTACAACCTACCTATATGATTTTGCTCCTACAGTCATGATATCCCCAAGACTTTCTTCAGGGAGAGTTTGGAACTACAGTGGGTTAGAAAATAATCACAGATTTTGTTTCCCATCTAGTACCAGCCAGAGTAAATGCTATCGCATTCAGAGTCTCAGACCATCCTGAGTCACACAAATTAATTATTTTCAGGTTGGAAGAGCACACGTTGCAGTACATTCTGGAGTAACTACATTGCTCAGACTTACACCAGTGCTCATCATCAGGTGATCCCCCCTCTATTCCACTC